TCTTAAAAATTTGTTGTTGTGTTGGATGTTGTTGTGTTGTTGTTTGTGTTGCTTGTGGTTTGTTGTTGAATATTATTACTTCTAAAGAATAATTATGTGGCCCCCTGGTTCACGCCCCCCTCAGCCGCGCCTAGCCGCAACAAAAATCAAAAAAAAAACACAAAAAAAAAAAAAAAAAAAATAATATAAAAAGAAAAATAAAAAAAAACAAGTCCACATTTTCAAACATTTTTCGTGAGGAAGTCTCCGGCAAAACGGGTTGGTCCAGATCCGTTTGTTTTGTTCCCCCCCGCTTTCCCTTGCAAAAAACAATATAAAATGACATGTCTTGTTCTAACATAACCAAACTTCAAGAATCCTTTGCAACAAATGACACGAAGTGCACACTCGCGCGCGCAAGATGAAATCCTTCCAAAACCTTAGTTTTCGTAGCGATTTTAACATAAAAACATGAAAAACCCAATGGTTTTTCCAAAACAAAAGTTTCAAAAATTCATCCCGCGCGCTCTTGCGGATTTCTTGGGAAACCCAATACTTTTTCAACATTTCTGTCAAACGGGCTCTTGCGAGCAACTTTTTCGAACTTCTGCAACAACGGTTGCGCACCTGCCAGGGCCATCATCCCTGACAAATAATACCATGCGGGACACATTCGTTTTTTCTTCGCGCGCGCACGCCGTCGTCGTCGGCCGCGGGGCCCTGAATAGTAGCCACGGTCGTCCGCATGCCACGAAATGAAGTGTCCGAACGTCTTAGGGCGGGAAGCTGGGTGTGGGTGGTGGCGAAGAGTCGTTTGGAAATTTGGTAGAGCTTGAACCGGCCCCCCACAAAGTGGGGGTATTGCCCGCCTCCTATGAAAACCCTGGCACTGGTGAGAACGGAGTGTCCCCAGTCTTAAATGATTGTTGTTGTTGTTGTTGTTGTTGTTGTTGTTGTTGTTGTTGTTGAACACTATTACTTCTAAAGAATTATTATTGTTGGACCCCCTGGTGCACGCCCCCCGCCCAAACCCTAGGCCGCAGCTACATTTTCATCATTTTTCTGCGAAAAAAACATATAAACAAAATAAAAAAATAAAAAAAAAAAACAAAAAAATAAAGAAATAAAAAAAGATAAAAGTAAAAAAAATGACAAAAAAAATGACAAAGTAAAAAAAAAAAAAAAAGTAAAAACAAAAAAGGAAGGGAGAAAAATAGAAAGAAATAAAAAATAAAAAAAAAAAGAAAGCAAAAAAAACAACCAAAAAAAAAAAAAAAAAGAAATAGAAAAAGATAAGGCTTCTCAGGATTCTGCAACGCCAGACCGATCCGGTTTTTTGTTGACGCTCGTTTTCCCTTGCAAAAACCAATAGAAAATGAAAATTCTTGTTCTTAGTTGATCAAATTTCAAGAATCCCTTGCAAAAAATAAGGTAAAGTGGACATTCGCGCTCGCAAGACGAAATCCTTCCAAAACCTTAGGTTTCGTAACGATTTTAACATAAAAACATCAAAAACCCAATGGTTTTTTAATAAAAAATTGTCAAAATGTCCTTCCGCGCGCTCTTGCGGATTCATAAGAAACACACCACTTTTTAAACATTTCTGTCAAAAGGGTCTTTGCGTGCTACTTCTTCAGGTGCTTTGAACTTCTCCAACAACGGTTGCGCGCCTGCGAGGGCCACCATCCCTTGCAAAAAATGAGACGAAGTGCACATGCGCGCGGCCGCCGCGCGCGCATGTCGAAATCCTGCCAAACACAATGGGTTTTCAAAAGGATCATAGCGCCATGAGTCTATGAGCAATGCATGCGTCATCCTTGGGACTGTATAACATCAGTGTAACACATGTACTTCTGTAGTCGCATCCCCACGAATTTGCCCCAAAAATGTGACCAACTATCTTGGCACTGCGTACCATCTCACGTGTACCGTGTACCACATCATATGTAACAGATGTGATCAACCTCTGTGGGTGTGTACCCCACGCCAGTGTAGTGGCCAGGGTCGTCCGCACGCCACGAAGTGAAGTGTCCCAACGTCATAGGGCGGGAAGCTGGGTGTGTGTGGTCTCGACGAGTCGTTTGGATATTTGGTAGAGCTTGAACGGCCCCCCCACGAAGTGGGGGTATTGGCTGGTGTCGCAAGAAAACCCTGGCACTGGGGAGAACACTGAGCGTTCGGGTAAAATGATTGTTGTTGTTGTTGTTGTTGTTGTTGTTGTTGTTGTTGTTGTTGTTGTTGTTGTTGTTGTTGTTTTGTTGTTGTTTGCTGTCGTCGTCCCCCTGCGACCCGCCCGCGACCCACCCGCGACCCGCCCCGCGACCCAACCCCCGACCCACCCCGCGACCCACCCCGCGACCCACCCGCGACCGCCCCGCGACCAAACCCCGTGAACCGCCCGCGACCCACCCGCGACCCAGCCCACGACCCAGCCCGCGACCCAGCCCGCGACCCAACCCGCGACCCACCCCGCGACCCACCCGCGACCCATCCGCGACCCACCCCGCGACCCATACGCGACCCACCCCGCGACCCACCCGCGACCCACCCGCGACCCACCCGCGACCCCCCCCCGGCCCGCGACCCGGCCCGCGTTCCAGCGGGCTCACTGCATAATTTGTAAAAGTTAGGCGCCTGCGGCGGGCTTCTTCAGAGCTTCGCAGACTGACGACGTCCTCGCCGCCCCCTCACTCTTATCCGCAACTGCGGGGTGCCACGTAAACTTTTGGCGCTCCGCCCGAATTTCTTGGATCCGCGCTGGGCCCCCCCTGGCGGCGCCTCCGGCGCCGCCCCTGGCGCGCTCCAGGCGCCAGGGAGGGGTGGCCAGCGCAGATCAAAGAAATCCGAAAGGAATGCCGAAAGTTCATGTTGATAGAGCTTTTTCTTCTTCGAGAGGAGGGATTGAGCAGGGACCGACCGTCCCGGACTCTTTGTGGCTTACCACAACATGTTCTTAGAACCCAAACATGTTCTGACAACAAAAACAGGTTTCAGTTCGGTTTCGGACCCCCGCGATTTACATATTTTATGCAGAAAGCCTCGCTCTCACCTCCTCCCTCTTCCTCCTCCTAAGCCTCTCTCTCACCTCCTCCCTCCTCCTTCTCATTCCTCCTTCACTCTCTCTCTCTCTCGCTCTCTCTTCTGTGTGTTTTCGTTCGTCGCGCATTCCTCTTCCTCCTCATCCTTCTCCGTCTTCCTCCTCATCCTCTTCCCGATCATCCTCCTCTTCCTCCTCCTCCTCCTCGTCCTCATCCGCCTCCTCCCCCTCTCCCCTTTTTCTGAAGGAGTGCCATAACTTTGGGAAAACCATTGGGAATAATAAAAAAAACAAAGAAACTGAAGTGCTGGGGGCGAAAACTTTAGGACACCCATTGGAAAAACCCAAACAACAACAAAAAAAAAAGATTCCAGGGAACACCCGTCCGAAGGGACACGTCCAAAGGGAATCCCAGCACTCTCTGTGGAATCTTTGTTTTTTTGTTTTTTTTGTTTTTTCCAAAATGGGTTTCCTAAAGTTTTCGGCTCCAGCAGTTCAGTTTCTTTGTTTTTTTGTTTGTCCAATGGTTTTCCCACAGTTTTTGAATTATGTGTTTTTGGGGCCTCTCAGGCGGGAGCATCGTTTAGAGTGTTCTATCGGGAACCTCTCTGGCGGGAGCCTCCTTTTGTTTGCGTTTTGGGGGACTTCTCAGGCGGGAGCCTGAGGGAGCCATGAGGGAGCCATGGGGGGAGCCACGAGGGAGCCATGGGGGAGCCATGGGGGGCCGTGGATGGGGTGGGGGGAGCATCCTCCTCATCTCCCTCCTCTCCTCATCCTCGTCTAGATGAGAATGTGGAAGGTGAGGATGAGGAAGATGATGATGCTGAGGAAGAATATGTAATATGCAGATAAGAAGGCGATGAAGATGATGATGAGGATGGGATGAGGAAGAGGATGACGATGAGGATGAGGACGATGAAGATGAGGAGGAAGACGAGGAACATGAGAAAACGAGAGGCGCAGAGGACGAGGAGCAGGAGGAGGAGAATATACAATATCAGGAGACAAGGGGACGAGGATGAGGAGAGGAGGGAGATGAGGAGGATGCTCCCCCCACCCCATCCACGGCTCCCCATGGCTCCCCCATGGCTCCCTCGTGGCTCCCCCCATGGCTCCCTCATGGCTCCCTCAGGCTCCCGCCTGAGCAGTCCCCCAAAACGCAAACAAAAGGAGGCTCCCGCCAGAGAGGTTCCCGATAGAACACTCTAAACGATGCTCCCGCCTGAGAGGCCCCGAAAGCACACAATTCAAAAACTTTGGGAAAACAATTGGAAACAACAAAAAAAACCAAAGAAACTGAACTGTTGGAGCCGAAAACTTTAGGAAACCCATTGGGAAAACCAAAAAAACAAAAAAAAAAAAAAAAAAAACAAAAAAAAACAAAGATTCCACAGAGAGTGCTGGGATTCCCTTTGGACGTGTCCCTTCGGACGGGTGTTCCCTGGAATCTTTTTTTTTGGTTTTGTCCAATGGGTTTCCTAAAGTTTTCGCCTCCAGCACTTCAGTTTCTTTTGTTTTTTTGGGTTTTCCAATGGTTTTCCCAAAGTTATGGCACTCCTTCAGAAAAGGGGGGGAGGGGGAGGAGGCGGATGAGGACGAGGAGGAGGAGGAAGCGGAGGATGATCGGGAAGAGGATGAGGAGGAAGACGGAGAAGGATGAGGAGGAAGAGGAATGCGCGACGAACGAAAACACACAGAAGAGAGAGCGAGAGAGAGAGAGAGAGAGAGAGAGTGAAGGAGGAATGAGGAGGAGGAGGGAGGAGGTGAGAGAGAGGCTTAGGAGGAGGAAGAGGGAGGAGGTGAGAGCGAGGCTTTTTCTGCATAAAATCTGTAAATCGCAGGGGTCCGAAACCGAACTGGAACCCAAAAACAATGTTCTCGGAACAGAAGCCCCATGTGTTCAAACATGACAATCTCGGCCAAGCATGTTCTGAGAACACTCCGTGCAGACCGCAACAGGTTCTTAGCACATTCTTTGGTGGACCTATAGGCGAGCCAGGACGCTTCGCCACTGCCTGAAGGGAGGAAGACGGCGACGGGAGCGCAGCAATTGTCGGGGAGAAAACGCGGCCCTCGCACACGTGCTGGGCCGCTGCAGGCAGGCGCGGCCTGGCCCTCGCACGCGCCGGGCCAGGCACTGCCTCTGGCACGCTGCGGCCCCGATGGCAAACTCAACCGCCGCCCGCACTGTCAGCATCTCCACTTCAACGCAGTGCCTCTTTCCCCCAACCTGGGCGTTGAGCAGGGACCGACCGTCCTGGCATTCGTATGGGCCTACCGCGAGATGTTCTTAGCACCCCAGAATGTTCTGATACCAGGAGCAGTGCTCTCCGAACAGAAGCCCGATGTGTCAAAACAAGGCAGCCCCAGCCAGACATGTTCTGAGAACATTTCGTGCAGACCACAAAAGGTTCTTAGCACATTCTTTGGTGGGCCTATAGGCGAACCAGGACGCTTCGCCACTGCTTGAAGATGGAATCCGAGTAGATGGGGTCGGAAGATCGCGCCGCATCGCCGATGTGTCGGCGATGCATCGACGATGTATCGGCGATGTATCGACGACGTCGGCGGTGCATCGGCGACGCCGGCATGGAGAAAATCGGGCTGCACATCGAGCCGCATCGCCGATGCATCGGCGATATGGCGTGATCCTCCGACCCCATCTGCTCCGACCCTATCAAGGTGGCCTAGATACAAAGACTCATGGTACAAATTCCTCCACTCCAACGTGGTCCCGGACACCCTACATCGCACACGTGCGTCCATCTCTGTTCCCCGCGACGTCGGACCCCGAAATCGGGAGAGAACAAGAACAGCCCCCCGGAACTGCCGGCGCGCCACATCGCTCGCATCGGGCAATGTGTGCCTGAAGGCCTGAGCGGTTCCTCTCCCCTCCATGACGCGCAGGAGGGCCCGCACTGAGCGAGTCGCTTCGCGGATCCGCTGCAGCACCGCTATCGAAAAAAGCTGTGGCATAAAGACACCTATGGCTCCACCAAAGATGTCGTGACTAATTACGTATGGGACTCGCAAGTGGATGGGTCATCATCATCATGGCGCTCCCGCCCAGCATCGCTGAGGGCACAGGGCAGGGGCGCTAGCTTGATCCCCAACCGCAAAAAGGTAGGAGAGCAATTGCGTTACTGGACGCTGTTGCGGCTGCCACTCAGGAAGCCGCTGGGACGAGACGACAGCCGCTCCGTCGAGGCCGCCCTGTGTGGAGGCCGCCAAGGACGCCCGCCATCAAGGCTGACCAGGCTGCCAGGCCCCCGCGAACGGCGGCTACATCACAAGGACAGCACTTGCATGATGACGGCGGCCGACTTCCCCGCTGGGTCGTCTTCCCTGGTCCAGCTGCTGGGCGCGCCTGGACCCCCAGCCATGGCTGGCCTCGCCAGGGCGACAGGCGCAACCGCATGCAGCAGGTCCCAGAGCTCGTCGGCGCTGCCGGCGACGAGGGCCCGAGGCCCCATGGGACAGTCGCTGCCCGTGGCTCGCTCCCGGCTGGCCACGAAGCTGGCCGCGCGCGCCCTCTGCTGCTCGCCCTCCGCCAGGACGACGGCCACGGACGCGCCACCGGCGGGCGCCTGCCGCGCGCCCGCCTGCCGCTTGTCGCCGGCGCGCCCCGCGCACTCCGCGGCGACGGCATCCATGCAGCGGAGGCACGGCTTGGCCTCCCGCCACCCCAGGAGCACCTGACGACCTACCAGGACCACCCCAACCCAACCCGAAGACCCGCATTTCGGGCTGGGGGGGGGGGGGGGTGAGGGCTCCCGCACGTGTTTTTCTGATGCCTCCCGACCCCCCCCCCCCCCTGGAAATCGGGGGTAAATGTGAGCCTTCGGGTTGGGTTGGGGTGGTCTGGTGGGTGGCGAGCACCACGGCCGGCGGAGCCACCCCGCCCGCCAGCGCCCTGGCCGCCAGCCAGCGCGTGAGCTTCCCCACGGTCGGGAAGTCGGCGTGCGGCCCGCCGCCGGCCGCGGAGGGCCCGTGCGGCGGGAGCCGGAGGCAGGCCTCCCGCGCCGCCGCGGCCCAGCCCTGCGTGCTCGTGGCGCACCACAGGGCCGTGGGCCCCTGGCTTGGGCACCCAGAAAACGGGTACAGTCATCGGCCTGACCTTCAGAACGATAAATGAGGAACGAGGCCCCTCTTGTTATCCCGAGGAAGAACGCATAGGGGAACGATACAGAATAAATAACGCATCGGGAACTGTAAATAACGCATGTGAACCTGAGGAACGACCGAGCCCCTTTTGAAAATTAAGTGGTTCTTATTCAGGCCGCTCACTGTGCCGCGAGTCCGTGTCGCGTCGACCCCGGCGTCGGTTCCCGGCACCGCGGGGACCGTTCCACCTGGAACGACCGGCAGCTCCCGAAACGTCAGGTCGTTCAACATCGACCAGTGCTGGGTCGCCGGCGGCGTTCAACTCGGAAAGCCAGCGGCGGAATCGCCGCCAGTCGACAAGACGCGAACCGACCGTACTAGTACGGTTATGTTGCTCCCATCGTACTTAAGGACCACATCACAGAACTAATTTCGAACACCCGCAGAAGTATAAAACAGTGTCGAACGAGGATCGCCTCCCAGGGCCCGACACGTGAAAACCTTACAGTTTCGGTACTTTTTTGGTGCTCGAAATTCTTTCGGGTGGCCAAGGCTCAGGTTGGAACATCATCGTAACACGGACACTAAGAATACGATGCCAAACAGCAAGGGTTGTCCAAGACCGACTGCGGCCGCCGCTGGTCAGGCGGCCTCCTGTCTCAAACGGACAACGCCCGTGGCGACACCCACGGCGAGTCCCGCTCAAAAGTACCAGGAACTGCTGCTGGTCTTCGAGCCCCTCATTTGATGGGTTTGTTTTCCACCACCACCACCACCAGAAGTTGGAGGGGGAGGGGGTCCTCCTCCTCCTCCTCCTCCTCCTCCGCCTCCTCCTCCTCCTACCTCCTCCTCCTCCTCCTCCTCCCTCCTCCTCCTCCTCCTCCTCCTCCTCTCCTCCTACTCCTCTCCTCCTCATCGTTCCTCCAACTATGGTGGTGGTGGTGGTGGTGGAAAACAGGCCCATCATCATTTCCGCACCCATTTCGCGCGTGCCCACCTGGGGCGTCCTCGCCGCGTGCGTGTCCCGCGCGGCGGCCGCTGCGACGCCGCCGCCGCTCGGCCGGGCCGCCGGGACCGTCCCTGCTGGCGGCGCGGGCCCCAGGTCGCCCGACGCGCGCGGGCGCGACGGGCCGCCGGGCGCTCTCGGGCCGCCGCGCTCCTCGGGGCGCCCGCCGGGCGCGGGCCATCGGTCCAGGGCCGCCGCGAGCGCGCCCCCGCGCTGGCAGGCCCCCGCCGGCGAGCTCCGGGGCGGCCACGGGCCGCCAGCTCCCGGTGGGAGCGGCCAGCGCGCGTCCGGGGTCGGTGCGCCCGGGGGATCCCGTCCCAGGATGCCGTAGCCCTGGGTATCGTATTCCAGGTCACGGAGCGCGTCGTCGTCCAGGCTGTCGCTCTTCGTCCAGCGTCCAGCGGAGGCGTGGGAGGTGGGCATGGCGAGGCTGAGGTGTGGGTGCAATCGAGTAAGAGTCGAGGGCTTCAAGAACTCGTCCCAGAAGGAAGGAGCAAGGCTCAGGCCAAAACAGCTCGGGCCGAAGGAATATGCAATCACGTTTACGTTGCCCGCAGCAGGCTGGTGGACGAGCGGGGAGGAGGAGGGAAGAGGATAGCTAGAGGAGGATGCTTCAGACATAACGGTTCGAGTCCAAACGGTTGCGGCCAAAGATATCGGAAACTTGAGCTGTATACTCCAGGCTGGGAGATCAAACTGCTGCCGCAATCGGGGCCTCCTGTTCCTACCACTCTCTCTTTTTTGGGCTGCATCGCCCATGCCCCAAGATCCCAGTCAATGCCACCTCCAGCTGAGGCGCCACATGCGGGCTCTCAAACTCACCTGCACCTTCTACATGAACTCATCAATGTCAACTGCCACTCCGTCAGTCCTGCTATCTTCCTCCCCCCCGATAGGACAACCGCGTCGAGCGAGCTACCGCCACCGTTGGCCCCACTGGTCCGCCCCAAGGCCCCACGCGGCAGCGGCAATCCCAGAGTGCTCTGGAATGCCTGACGGAAAACCGGGCGTGAACACCTCCGCGGCCTCCCAACACCCCTGAGGAGGGAAAGAAACACACAGACACAATTAATCGTCGACTCCCAAGAAAATATGGGAAAATATGGGAAATGGGGGGGAAGACAGAAACCCAGAAAATATGGGAAAATATGGGGAATCATTTTATTTGTGTGTATTTATTTGTGTGTCCTGGAGCCCCTTTAACCCCCCCGGACCACCCTGTATAGCGCAGTCGCGGCTCCCCGCACAGCCGGCTGCTCCAGTTCCTTCCACGCGTGGGCCCCGGAGGTCCAAACCACTCCCCCGGGGCCGGCTTTTCGCCCCGACTCGTCTGTTGACGCTCCCGAGGCCCAGCGAGGGCACCCGGAGGCCGAAAGTGGCCCCCAAATCCCGCCGCGCCAATTTCTTTCGGAGCGTTGGATCTCTGGGGACCACCCTGTAGCGCAATCGCGGGTCCTCCAAATCGGCCACTGATTGCACGGCTCGGTTCGGCCCCAAGGGTGGCCCAGGAGGGCTTCCCCAAATCCCACCGCGATGGGTTCAGATCACAATCGGCCGCAGGAGATCACAACCGGACGGTTCAGATCACAACCGTCCAAAGCACCAGGCTCGGTCAGATCACAACCGAGGAGGAAGCCAATAAAGAAAACATATGGAAGTGTTATCATACTTCCCCATATCCTAAGATGGGGTTCTTGTTATTACTTGGACGCCTCCTACTTCCTCTCCCTCCTCCATTTCCTCCTCCCCTCCTCTTTCCTCATACTCAGACCTACTCATACTCAGACTTACTGATACTCAGACTTACTCATACTCAGACCTACTCATACCCAGACTTACTCACACTCAGACATACTCATACACAGACGTACTCATACACAGACTTACTCACACCCAGACGTACTCATACACAGACTTACTCATACCCAGACTTACACATACACAGTATTACTCATACTCAGACTTACTCGTGCCCAGACGTACACATACACAGACTTTCTCATACACAGACCTACTCATACCCAGACTTACTCATACACAAACTTACTCATACACAGACTTACTCATACTCAGGCATACTCATACTCAGACCTACTCATACTCAGACTTACTCAACACACATCAGATTTGGAGGATGTCTCAAGCGGGGCGCTGGTTTCAGCACCCCTAAGGGGAGCCGCCAGGGGTGTTTGCAAGGGCCCGTTCGCGGCCATTTTGTGGGGATGTCTCAAGCGGTTTGCTTGTTTCTGGTCTCAACATCCTTCGCTTGGAAAGCAGATTGTGAGGATGTCTCAAGCGGGGCGCTGACTTCAGCAACCCTAAGGGGAGCCGCCAGGGGTGTTTGCACGGGCTCGTTCGCGGCCATTTTGTGGGGATGTCTCAAGCGGTTTGCTTGTTTCTGGGCTCAACATCCTTCGCTTGGAGAGCAGATTCTGAGGATGTCTCAGGCGGGGCGCTGGTTTCAGCACCCCTAAGGAGCCGCCAGGGGTGTTTGCACGGGCTCGTTCGCGGCCATTTTGTGGGGATGTCTCAGGCGGTTTGCCTGTTTCTGGGCTCAACATCCTTCGCTTGGATAGCAGATTGTGAGGATGTCTCAGGCGGGGCGCTGGTTTCAGCACCCCTAAGGGGAGCCGCCAGGGGTGTTTGCACGGGCTCGTTCGCGGCCATTTTGTGGGGATGTCTCAGGCGGTTCGCCTGTTTCTGGGCTCAACATCCTTCGCTTGGAAGCAGATTGTGAGGATGTCTCAGGCGGGGCGCTGGTTTCAGCACCCCTAAGGGGAGCCGCCAGGGGTGGTTGCACGGGCTCGTTCGCGGTCCGTTTGTGGGGATGTCTCAGGCGGTTTGCTCGTTTTCATGCCCAACATCGCCGGCGGGGCTGCGCCTCCAAAAGTGGTGAAACGCGCCCTGGGGAACCAGGGCTGAGGAGGAAGAGGGGGAGGAAGAGGAGAAGGAGGAGGAGGAGGAGGACTGGGGGAGGAAGCAAGGGGAACAGGACGATGAGGTGAAGGATGACGACAAGGATGAGGAGGATGATGTCTAAGAGATTGAGGACGAGGAGGAGGATAGCGTGAGCGAGGGAAATGACAGGAACGAGGATGAGGAGGAGGAACAGGAGGAGGAGGAGGAGGCGGGGGATCGTGAGGAGGGGCATGGGGGTGCGGAGGGGGAGGGGGAGCAGGAGGATGAGGAGGAGGAGCAGGAGCAGGCAGTCCCAGCCAACGCGACAACCGAGTGCGGACGGCGCGGGCGAATAACATTTGCTGCGGTTGCCCGATGGCATTCGTTTTCTCCTTGCGCTTCCATGTGCATGTAGCGCATATCCAATGCCACCGGCAGAAGCCCAGTGTGGACGGCGTTGGCATTGACATGTTCGAGCTCTCTCTGGTTTTCCATTAGCAAGGAGTCTCTTGTCGATGCCGGCGCTCGAAACCCAGTGTGAACGGCGCGGGCGTTGACTTGTTGCAAAACATGTTTGCGCCCGAGGTTGGGGCCCGATGCGAAGTGCGGACGGTTAAAGCTGGGGTGCAGGTCGCGAGGTGCCGCTTGAAGCACTTGTCACTCGTGCTCCCCATGGTGCTTCGGACGCGGCGCCGAGGGAATTCTTTGCCTTGACAAAAAAGATGCGCGGGCATATGCACGTGAATGAATGCATGCACGCGGTGGATGTGCAGCCGCGCTGCGCGCGCGTGTGCTCGCCGCTCACATGGACGCGCTCGTGGAGCAAACATCTATCATAGATAAATGCTCACCGTGGCACTACCCTCCAACATGACATGCACTTATGGCCTTGTAAGGCTAAGCGCTCGTCTTACATATCCCACTGCCAACTATCCTAAAACATATGCACATATGGGAAGCTCCAAAGCTACCACGGGCTGACAAGGAGAAGGCCTGGCAGCTGAGGAGGGGGGATGAAGAGGAAGAGGCTCGCATTCAACCATACTCAAAGCTCACTCTGACTCATACGCAATCACTCGCATTAGGGGTCACTCGTCTTCGTCGGCCCTGTCGCCCACGTGGACGCGCTATTGTAGTCGACCGCTCATGAACAGACGCTCACCACGGCATGACAAAAAAACATGAGATGCACATATGGGGAGCTCCACGCAGTGAGTAATTGTTCATTGCAATCTGAAATTGCAATGGACACCCTACAGGAGCAGATTCACGCGTGAGCTATTGCGGTTGGGATCTCGCGCGTCTTTTACTGGATCGTGGAAGTAGTCGTAGTAGTAGTAGTAGTAGTAGTAGTAGTAGTAGTAGTAGTAGTAGTAGTAGTAGTAGTAGTAGTAGTCGTAGTAGTAGTAGTAGTAGTAGTACTAGTACTAGTAGTAGTAGTAGTAGTTGTAGTAGTAGTTGTAGTCGTAGTAGTAGTAGTAGTAGTAGTAGTAGTAGTAGTAGTAGTAGTAGTAGTAGTAGTAGTGGTAGTAGTAGTAGTAGTAGTAGTAGTAACAGTAGTAGTAGTAGTAGTCGCAACAGTATTAGTAATAGTAATGGTAGTGGGAATAGTGGTAGTAGTAGTAGTAGTAGTAGTAGTAGTAGTAGTAGTAGTAGTGGTAGTAATAGTAGTAGTAGTAGTAGTAGTAGTAGTAGTAGTAGTAGTAGTAGTCGTCGTCGTAATAAAAAGACGGGTGGTAGTAGTAGCAGCAGTATGTAGTAGTTAGTAGTAGTAGTAGTAGTAGTAGTAGTAGTAGTAGCAGTAGCAGTTGTAGTAGTACTAGTAGTAGTAGTAGTAGTAGTAGTAGTAGTAGTAGCCGTAGTAGTAGTGGTGGTAGTAGTAGTAGTAGTAGTGGTGGTGGTGGTGGTGGTAGTACGAGTAGTAGTCGTAGTAGTTGTAGTAGTAGTAGTAGTAGTAGTAGTAGTAGTAGTCGTCGTAGTCTTCGTCGTCGTCGTCGTCGTAGTAGTGGTAGTAGTAGTAATAGTAGTAGTAGTCGTAGTAGTAGTAGTAGTAGTAGTAGTAGTAGTAGTAGTAGTAGTAGTAGCAGTAGTAGTAGTAGTAGTAGTAGTGGTGGCAGTAGTAGTAGTAGTAGTAGTAGTAGTAGTAGTAGTAGTAGTACTAGTCGTAGTAGCAGTAGAGTAGCAGGCCCAATAGCCAGTAGCAGTAGCAGTAGTAGTAGTCGTAGGAAAGTAGTTAGAAAGTTAGTAGAAGTAGATAGTAGTAGTAGAAGTAGTAGTGGTAGTATTACTAGTATTAGTAATTTAGTAGTAGTAGTAGTAGTAGTAGTTAGTAGTAGGTAGTAGTAGTATTTAGTAGAGTCAGTCGTAGTCGTAGTAGTAGTCCGCTTAGTCGTAGTAGTTTACGTATAGAAAATAGTAGTAGTCGTAGTTCGTAGTCGTAGTAGCAGTAGTAGTTAAGTTCGTATAGTAGTAGTAGTGTACTACTACTAGTGGTAGTAGTAGTTAGTAGTAGTAGTAGTAGTAAGCAGTAGTCGTAGGTCGTAGGCGTAGCAGTAGTAGTTAGTAGTAGTAGTAGTAGTAGTAGTAGTATTAGTATAGTAGTAGTCGGCGGTAGCAGT